AACTCTAAAAAGAGAAACAAAGAGGTGTATTCTTTGTTGGGTCTGTGTGCAGATCTATGTGTCTGTCGGCCTATGTGTTTGCCTGCTCAAGTCCCTGCAGCTGATTGTGTGTGCACACGTGGATATCCGCACACCTGGGCATCTGTGTCCGTGTGGTGTGGAATCCCCGCGTGTATACGTGAAGTGCCTGCCCACATCCACTTGGCTGTTGGCCTGCAGACAGATGCTCACGAGCATGTATGTGCACGTCGCTATCTAAGTGTGGCCATGCCTGTGTTTACGTCTGTGGGCAAATTCTGATAGCCATGACCACCATGTATGTAGACATCTGGTATGTCACCAGAGGGCCGGATCCATTCGGTTTCCCCCTCCCCTCCAGCTATGCGTTCCCTTCGGAAAGCCCCCAGCCCTGGACAAGCTCTGTCTTGTGCCTTCTCCGAGTCTGCCAGCTGAGTGTGCTGGAGACAGTGACGCTGACCGGCTATGCCTCAGATTCATAACCACAAAGCCCAGGACAGCACTCAGCCATGCCTGGGCCTCTGATAGTTCTGGAGTAGGCTGGCTTTCCCACGCCCTGCAAAGACAACCACACTCCTATCCTCACACTCTGTCCCCAGTCCTCACTCAGCTGATGATGCCACCGTGTGCTTCATTCAGAAAATAGGAGTCTTCGGGGGTGCCTGGGTGGGTCAGTCAGTTAAGCGTCCAACTTCAGCTCAGGTCATGACCTCACAGTTCATGAGTTCGAGCCCCGTGTTGTGCTCACTGCTATCAGCTCAGAGCCTGGAGCCTGCTTTGGATTCTGTGTCTCCCTCTCTCTGCCCCTCCCCTGCTCACTCTCTCTCTCTCAAAAATAAATAAACATTAAAAAAATTAAAAGAAAATAGGAACCTTCAGCCAGAAAAGCCCTCACTCCAACCAGGAAACGTACAAAGCCAGTCACCTACATGCACACTACCTTGGGCCACCCCGCAGTGGAGGGCGCCAGCCACCTCCTCTCGTGGCCAGGTCCTCTGTGGGTCTCTGCCCCCCACCCCCCGTCCGAGGCCACACATCTTCCCTTTGCCTTCCAGACCTACTCTCCTCCCTTCTCCGCGAGGCTCTGTGCCACAGGAGAATGATTTGATGGAAAAACCGGTGGGGCTCCATGCCCTCTGGCTCCAGCCACTGGGGAGCAGAGGCAGGAGATGGGAGGGTGGGCGAGAGTGAGGTCAGAGTCTTGCTTCCCTCAGTGTCCTCTCTGTGCATCGCCACGGACTGGGTGTGTCCACAGACTGAAGGTCACAGCTCCTGCCAGGGGGTCCCCCTCTCCACACAGCCTCTCTGTCCAGGTTCCTGAAGCTGCTCCCACGCCTCACGACCTCGCAACCTCAGGCCCAGGGCACTGCATTTGTCCCTGTGCTCTTCCTGCATCCTGCCCACATATTTGTAAATAGTCCTTTGATTAAGTGCTTTTCACCTTTACCTGATTCGAGGTGCCCTGTTTCCTATGGGGCCCCTGCCTTGAAGCAGGTCCCTAGTGTCCCCTCCTGGACTGGGTGCCATCCATCCTGCAGCACTGATTTCTCCCTCCCACTGGGTTACT